TGCCAGCGAGAGGCTGAGTGTGCCAGCGAGAGGCTGAGTGTGCCAGCGAGAGGCTGAGTGTGCCAGCGAGAGGCTGAGTGTGCCAGCGAGAGGCTGAGTGTGCCAGCGAGAGGCTGAGTGTGCCAGCGAGAGGCTGAGTGTGCCCAGCGAGAGGCTGAGTGTGCCAGCGAGAGGCTGAGTGTGCCAGCGAGAGGCTGAGTGTGCCAGCGAGAGGCTGAGTGTGCCAGCGAGAGGCTGAGTGTGCCAGCGAGAGGCTGAGTGTGCCAGCGAGAGGCTGAGTGTGCCAGTGATGCTGCATTTTCAGGTCCAGATCGAGGGAGCGTCGCCGACATCGATCCAGATCCGTGTCTCACGATCGGCGTAAACGCTCTCGCTCCAGGTCCCGGGAACGTCGGCGCCGGCACAAGTCCCGCTCCGGCAGCCGGAGCCGCAGCTGCAGCCACCAGCAAAGCCGTCAGAACTCCAAGGACAGGGAGCGTGAGAGGGACCGCAGCAGGGACAGGAGCTCCAAACAAAAGTGTGTGAGAGACATATTTTCACGGCCCCCGGCCCCCATCCCTGCTCCCTGCCCCCACCCCCTGCTCTCACATTGCCCACCCATTGCCCCTACCCATTGCCACCACACTGCCTACAGCTTTACTGCACTTACACTGGGGTTTGCTGCCCACAGCCTCACACAGGGACATGAAAAACACAATCAACTATTTCTATGAGCTGAGCTTTATATAAATGGTTATTTGGACCCCATATTGTGTGATGATATTGTTCACCCACTTTGGGAAAGATGACAAGTGATCAAGGGGGTACAGAGGGGAGTTATTAGGATGATCCGGGGATGAAGGGTTTGGTCTATGAATGGAGGCTGGAGGAACTGGGACTTTTTCCACTGGAACATAGAAGGTGACCTGATCGTGTAGCTCAGTGTTTAGAGCCCTCACCTTGCAAACGAGAGACCTGGGTTCGATTCCCGGGCGGGTCAGGACAAAACCTTAGGTAAGTTTCCTTATTCCACACACATGCTTCTGTTTACCAGCAGTCAGTAGGAACCTGTTTATTAGTCGATTGGTTGTGTTAAAGCGCTTCACAAAATATACTATAAAAGTGAAGTGACTGTATTTTGTGGGCGAAACACGGCAGCCAATTGGGCACAGCAGCGTCCCCACAAACAGTGGTGGATTGACTGACTACATTATTATTTTTATTTATATCTAAAGTCATCTTCAGGGATGAGGGGAAAAGGCAGGTCAGTGGGACTGAGGATCATTCTATAAAGGTAGAGATCTTTTGTTTCTTCCAGGCAACGAAATCTGAACCTCAGTGTCTGGGAACACTCAGTAGGTCAGGCAGCATCTATGGAGAGAGGAAATTGAGTTCACGTTTCAAGTCAATGACCAAAGGTCAGTTTCCTCTCTCCATAGATGCTGCCTGACCTGCTGAGTTCCCAACAACTTCTGTATTTATTTCAGGTTTCCAGGGGCTGCAGTGTTTTGCCTGTTGAGTCGCAGGATGTGTTCTATTGGGGGAAATAACACCATCCCATTCCCGCAGGTCCAGAGAGCGAGACCAGGAGAAGTGCAGGGAGCAAGATCGCAAAGACAAGAAACGTCCCTACGAGAGTGCCAACGGGAGGTCAGACCACAGTCAGCCCAGCTCGGAGGAGAGGGAGGCGGGGGAGATCTGACGGACGCACGGACACACTGACACCTGTGGGGAGAGCATGGCTTTCACTCGACTCGACTCGACTGGGGGAAACCTCGTGTTTTGTTTTTTTGAACTTAGAAGGGATTATTTTCGTCCGGCGGTTTAGACGACCGATAACTTAAATCTGTTAGGGTAGCTGGAGGGGGTGAGGAGGGGGTGTCACCTCTCTCTCTCTCTCTCTCTCTCTCTGAGTGGCCTGTGTTTGTGACGGAGGCCGGAGGAGCCTGGGAATGTACTGTGTGTGCGTGTGCCAGGCTGTGCCCAGTCACCAACATTAGCATTCTTCCTATCATTGCCCCGCGATGTATCCGCATCGCTCTGTTTTTGAACAAGGAATCTCTTTTTTTGTTTTGTTTTAAAGCTCTGGAAACTTGATTCCGTATTAAATTTGTAAAAATCCGCCCTCTGGTCAGTGTACAACCTGTGTGTGTGTTTACATCGTCCACGTAGTCACAGGACACAGCAGCAACTGGTAAGTTACCTTGCCCTGGTAACACACGCTCACACACACACACACACACTCTCGCATGCATGTACATACATACACACAAACACGCACTCACATGCATGTACACACATACACAAACACGCACTTGCATGTACACACATACTCACACCAAACGTGCTCACACGTATACTCAAGCGCACGCACACACAGAAAATATAATTCCACTCAGAAAAATTCACTAACATTCATGGATCTCTCTCTCTCTCCCCCCACCCCTCTTCCTCCAGCCTATACCTTGTCTTCCTCTCTCCCCCTCCTCGCCACACCTCTCCCCCTCTCTCCCTCCCTCTCTCGCTCCCATTCCTCTCCCTACACTCCCGGAGCTGCCATGAGTATTTTTTTCAAAGGAAGAATTGTTGGGATGCGCCATGATTCTGAGCGCGTGTGGTTGGTGTGTGCGTGCGGTTGGTGTGTATGTGTGTGTGCGGTTGGCGTGTGCGGTTGGCGCGTGTGTGTGGTTGGCATGTGTGTGCGTGTGCCCACCCTCCACTGAGCTGAGCGCTCACACAGTTACCACACCAGGATTTGGAGGCCTCTGGACTGCCCTGTGGGGCCAGTTACTCCCATCAGTTTTCATGTAGTAAAGAGCTGAGTGAGTCCCTGATCATCAGGACATTATCTGCAGTGGGGGGGGGGGGTTGTTGGAGGAACCGTCCTGTGGATGAGATGTTAAACCGAGGTCCCCGCTGCCTGGTTTGGGTGGATGTTAAAGATCCCTCTCGGCCCTTCAAAAAAAAATTCTCTCTCTCTCTCTCTCCTGGTGTCCTGCCCGACAATCCCCCAAATAAAAGTGGGTCACTTGCTCCGTGGCTGTTTGCAGGACATTTGCTGTTGTTTCTCCCACAAAACACAGTCACTTCACTTTACAGTATATCCTGTGAAGTGCTCTGGGATGTGCTGCTGTGAGAGGCGCTGTGTGTTGAGCTACTGACGGGGGAATATTCAGCAGCTTCGAGATCCTCACACTCGTCTTCAAATCCCTTCCCCACTGGCACCTCCCTCCCTCCCTCCCTCTCCCACCCGCTCGCTCCCCACTCCACCACCTGCTGCCTCCGCTCGACAGGCTCTGGCCTCCTGTTTGTCCCTCGTGCCCCCCCCCCCCCCCCCTCGCTCCACCATTGGCCTTCAGCTGTTATACCCCGAAAATCTGGAACTCTCTCCCTCGATCCTCTCGCACTCGCTCGCTGAGCCTGTCTTGCCCCCTTCTCCCCCCCCTCTTTCCCCATTTTCAGACCTTCAACCTCGACCCGGCTCAGTGCTAACCCTGTGTGATGGGTGTTGTAGCTGAGCAGGAGGGGGTGAGGAGGTGGGGGTGAGCAGAGGGGGGAGCAGGTGGAGGGGGAGCAGGAGAAGATCCCAGTCTGGGGAGGTGAAAAGCGATTTATAAATGAGAACCTTGAAATTATATGTTAATTATAATTATCTTTGCATTTAATTAATCCAGCGCCTTTCACATCTGGATGACGTCTCAAAGCGCTTCACAGGATTTACTATCGAGTGCAGTGACTGCGCTCTTTGTGGATGAATGCGCTGTCAATTTGTGGACAGTATCGAATTGCCATGAGAGACGGGGTTCAAAATCCCAATGTGGAGCTCGAACCCACAACCTTCTGTAACCCTAATATTTGGTGTAGCACGTTTCATGTTGAGAGAATGACTGCACTGTGGAGTGGAGTGACTGTTTTGTGGATGAACGCAGCAGCTGGTTTGCACACAGCAATGTTTCACGAACAGCTATGACGCAAATTTTATTCGGGGGAATGTTAGCGAGAGAGAGAGAGAGAGAGAGAAACTGGCTGCTGTGCAAAAAAGTACAAGATCTTGTAACGTCCGCCTGAACAGACGGGGAGTGAGGTTTAACATCTCATCTGTAGGATGGCGACTCTGACCATGTGGCGCTCTCTCTCTCCCCCACCTCGAGTGCTGGTGCGAGCAGCGCCACCGAGAGTTTTAATAAAGAGAGAGGGACACAGCGTGAGCCAAATGCTGACAGTTTTATTCCTGAGCTGGTTGTGTTTTGACCATCGACTGTTCAGGTCAGTGGTAACTTCATCGTCTCTTGGACAAACTACAGAAATCCACGATACAAACAGCATCTACACACGTCACGCAACAATCTGCCAAAACTAGTACTTTATGACCCCACGAAATGCAGGGTTTACACAGCAGTCACCAAATGAAATAGTTACTGGTTGATTTTTTCTCTCTCTCTCTCACCCTCTCTCTTTCTCCCCTCTCCCTCTTTCTTCCCTTCTCTCTCTCCCCCTCCCACTTCATGAGTTTGATTTTTATCCTCCCTCTTCTCCCAGGTTTGTGCAGACTGAGGCAGTTATGACTGAAAGCCTCCTTTCTTGTAGAGATCCTCTAGCTCGGAGCAGATGGCTTTGAAAGCCTTGCTGAAGGCTTCCTGGGCTGGTGCTGTCATCTCTCCCGGGAACTTCTCAGCGAAAACCTTCAGGATCACGTTGGTGATCAGCTGTGAGGGACGAAGAATGAGAAAGAAAATGAAGTCCTCAGTGATTAGAGCCCTCGCCTCGCAAGCCCGAGTCCTGGGTACAATTCATGGCAGGACGAAAGGTTGGGCAAGTTGGGTGACCTTACTCCACCCGCCTGTTTACCAGCAGTAAGTAGGAACCCAGTTGTTAGGCAGATCTCTTTTCCAGGGTAAGAATCCATTCAAATAAATAATAATAATAATAATCCGTGCATTTGATACAGCGCTTTTCACGTTTTCTCGACGTCTCAAAGCGCTTCGCAGAATAGACTGTAAAGTGAATTGACCGTATATTTGTGAGTGAAACGCAGCGGCCAATTGCGCACAGCGGCGTCTGTCCCACAAACAGCCGTGGGTTGAAAATGACCGATTTATTGTTTTTTTTCTTGAGGGATTATTTTCAAGTGTGTGGAGTGAGGAAACTTGCCCACGGTTTCACCCCCGGCCGGGAATCAAACCCACGTCTCTCACTTGTGAGGCGAGTGCTCTAACGACTGAGCTACAGTACTCCACATAATTTGGTCACTCAATCCACAAGTGTTTGTGGGGCACTGTTGGCTGTCACATTTCACCCACAATATACAGTCACTCCACTTTACAGTATATCCTGTGAGGCTCTTTGAGACGTCTCAAATACTTGAAAAGCACTATATCACAATGTAAGTATTATTATTAAGAGGGAGGAATGTCCCAAAATGGCTGCAGGCCGGTCACGGTGACGGGTTTCCGTGTGTGACAGACACCCGGCCGGTCACGGTGACGGGTTTCCGTGTGTGACAGACACCCGGCCGGTCACGGTGACGGGTTTCCGTGTGTGTGTGTCAGACACCCGGCCGGTCACGGTGATGGATACCTGACTGACCAATACAGATATGAAGAGGTTTATGTACTCACAGTGAAGTTCTGGGGTGGGATCTTGTGTTTGTTGATGTGGGTGGTGGCCAGAGCCTGCAGGTTGCTGGCGTGCTTGCCTTTCTGTTTGACCACATCGCCCAGAGCCTTGAACACAGTGTTGCCGTGGGTCTTAACGTCAGCGTTGGATGTCAGCTGCCCGAGAGGGATGTCCTTAAACTTGGGGAAGTGAGCCTTGGTCTCTGGATGTTCTTCAAACAACCTTTACATCAAACGTACATGACACTGATATCTCATGCCCCACTTCCCTCTCCACGCTCTCCCCTCACCCTCCTGTCCCCTCCTCACCCCCCTCGCCCTCCCCTCCTCGCTCTCCCCTTCCCGACCTTCTGTGCGCGCTCCCCTCACCCCTGCTCTCCTCCCCTCCCCACTTTCCCTATCCCTATGTGGAGGAGGTGACACCCACACAGAGAGAGAGAGACGTAAGGAGATGGGACGTTCCGTTTGTTGCCCCCCACCCCGGTTACCTGAGTAGGACGGTCTGTCCATTCCCAGCCAAGTCCTCCTCTACCTTGGCCCAGACCTTGTTGATGAGGTCCCAGTCACACATCTCAAAACCGTAAGCAGAGTGAAGTGGAGAGAGTGAGGGGGGAGGAGTTGACTCAAGCAACTTGACACCCAGCCCAGCCTGGCTGGTTTTATACCCTCCTTCACCCGGCCTCTCCCCTCTTGACCAGCCAATGGTCGTGGATTCATTGTCTGGCAGCCTATTCTGGATGACGTGCTGATTAAGGTTCACAGCCTCCCAAAATGATTGACCTAATCTGCATTCCTGTCCTCAGACCTGTCAGATTGGCCTGAGTGCTGATGCCATCAGCACCGACAACTACTCTTGACTTTCTCCTTGACCTCAGGAACCAACAAAACTACATCTCACCCACAAAGTACAGACACTGCCCTGAACCAACCATGTCATTGTGATCAGCTACACACTGTGGTTAGATTCCAGGAGTTACCACATGCTCTGGGACATCCAGACCGTCACCAAACTGCGTCTTAATACTCTCTGGATTGAGCTAATCATTATCTAATTCCGTTCCTCCAGGGAGAGAGAGATCGAGAGCGCATTCCATTCCAGACACGGGAATTACCGTGTGTAAGGTCTCTCAGTTTGGTTTGGAGATTCTTATCCTTGGTGACAGGTTTCCGTGTGTGTCAGACACCCGGTTGGTCACGGTGACGGGTTTCCGTGTGTGACAGACACCCGGCCGGTCACGGTGACTGGTTTCCCAAATAACACTTGTCTCGCGAACGCCTTCACATCAGAGAGATGGACAGTTGGTTCCTGAGGTCAAGGGCGCTGGACAATCAGGAGATCCCAGCTCGGGGATGGAGGGCAGGGGGTGGGGGTGGGAGGGTGGCTGAAGGCAGGTCGAAGAAGAAGGTCTTTAGACTTGAAAGAGGCAAAAGAGGGAGTGAGGCAGAGAGATTGTGGGGTAGAGTTCCAGGCGGTGGGGGTAGTGATGTTGAATGCCTGACAGCCAATGGTGGGGCTGGTAGTGCGGGGGAGCCGAAGCAGCCGGTGTCTGTCGAGTGTAAGGAGTGGACAGGCTGATGTGGGGTTAGGGGTGGCAGAGGTAGATAGGAGCGAGACCATGGAGGGCCTTGAAGATGAGAACAAGGGTTTTGACACTCGGCTGATCACGGTGACTGGCTTCATGCACGGTTGCTGGGGGAATGCGCTGGTGCCTGGCACGTACTGCACGTCTCACACGGCCGCAGCTCGACACAGGAATTTCATGTGACGGTTTAGTCTGGGGCGAGGGTGGTGGGGGGGGGGGGCGAGTGCGGGGGTTCTGACGGCCAGGACAGTGGCACAGCAGCGGAGGAGAATGTAAAGTGCTCCGAGAGGTTGTGTTGAAGTGTTTATTTAGGGAGAGTTTGTCAAGGACACATCTCAAGGGCAGAAATATGTGCGAATCGTGACTCAGAGCAGGTTTACTGTGTGAGAGCGAGAGAGGACACAGGGTCAGGGGTAGGCACTGTTCCTACATTAGATCTGTATCTCCACTCCAAGCGAGAGGATCTTGTTTCAATTCCCAGCGGAACAAACCCTCGCTCCAGTTTCCTTACTCCACTGTTGAGCAGCAGTGAACAGGAACCCGGTTGTTAGTTATAATAATAATAATAATAATAATAATCCTTGCATTTGATATAGCGCTTTTCACGTCGGGAGGACGTCCCAAAGCGCTTCACAGAACATACTGCAAAGTGAATTGACTGTATATTTGCGGGCGAACGCGGCAGCCAATTGCGCACAGCAATGTCCCACAAACAGTCGTGGGTTGAAAATGACCAATTTATTATTGTTTTTGGTTTTGAGGGATTATTATTAGGCTCTGTGTGGAGTAAGGAAACTTGCCCGAGGTTTCGCCCTCTGCCTGGGATTGAACTCAGGTCTCTCACTTGCAAAGCGAGTGCTCTAACCACTGAGCTACAGGACTCCACATAGTTGATTGGGGGACGGCTTTTCAGGGGTAATAATCCCTTCAAAAAATAAAAATTGATCACTCTCCCCACGGCTGTGTGTGGGACGTTGCTGTGCGCAATTGGCTGCTGTGTTTCACCCACAAAATACACAGTCAATTCACTTCACAGTGTATCCTGTGAAGCGCTTTGAGGCGTCTCGAAGACGTGATGAGGCGCTGTGTCAAATACAATCAAATGTATCAGTTATTATTGATTTGTTATTGCACCCGATCTCATGGCTGAGGCGTCTCAAAACACTTGACAGAATATACCGTAAAATATTTTGTGGGTGAGACCAACTGTGCACAGTCATGGATTCACTGAACAATTTAGTTTCTTTGGAGGGATTATTACCTCCGGAAAGCAACTAACAACCAGGTTCCCGCTGACTGCTAAATCGCCAGAGACGTCTGGAGTAAGGAAACTTGCCTAAGGTTTTGTTCTGCCGGGAATCAAACCCAGGACCTCTTGCTTGCGAGGGCTCTAACCACTGAGCCCCCGGCTCCAGCTTTGAGGTAAGGGTTTAAAAAGCAAAACCAGGGATTTACGGAGCTCGGAAGAGACTGAAATATATCTTTCCTGAGGAGCGGCAGCCAAACAGTGAACACAATACACAGGGATCTGAACAAAGACAGGAGAGCGTAACAGAGGGCAAACAGAGGAGACACAGAAGGAGGGAAGGAGGGAGGGAAGGGGGAGGGAGGGACTCAGGATAACAAGGAAAGACCATTTGTTTTTTTCAGGAAATAAATCACTGGCAATGGGGGCAGATTGTGG